GCAACCCTTCGTATGCGGTGACCATCGGACCGGTGCATGGCCCATGCGACTTCGGCTCGCGCCAATGAAAGATACTCGCTTAAGGAGAATGCCAGGGCCGTCGGGTCTGCCTGCACGGAACCAAGGAAGCAGACCAGCACCTTGATCGCCACGAGACGAGCCTGGACCAAGCCACAACTCGGAGCGGAACTCGCGGCAGTTTTCGCCGTTCAATTGTTCTTTGGAACTTTGGAACGGCAAGACCCGATAGCTTGCTGCTTGTTGATACTAATGCGAAATTGTATTCACGTCTAGAAAAACCGAATCCCGAAACCGAAACCACCTAGCATTTCACCGGCGCAACCCAGTCTTCGCCTTACAAATTCTCGAACAAGGCGATGAATATATCTATTCGTCGGAACCCTCACAACATCGAGTAAGGTACTGTTATTTTAGTATACTAGATAAGGTGCGATCTTTCTATTCTATATCAATAAAGGAGTATCATCACCTGGATTTGAAAAGCTTCACGACTATGCTATCGCGTAGGATAGAATGGACATCACGGATTCAGGATATTCCATCGTCGAGTCTCGTCCATAATATAAACAATATTATCAACCACTTATCATCATCTCTACCCCTATCCCTCACCCACCCAACCCATCCCAAATCTCCCCAAAAACCCTCAACCCCCTACTTCCAAGCGCAGTCCCAACACCAACAGCGACAGCACCAACACTCCTCATCCTCCTATACCCCTCAGAATCCGCAACACCACCAATGCCCAGCACGACAACATGTCTCGTGGTTGCGTCCTGATCCAAAAAGCGTCGAAGCGTCGCCACATTTCCCAGCGCGAGCGGATGAAGCGGCGCCCCCGCTAATCCACCAATACCTAGACCTGGTAGCACTGGGTCGAACGTCCTCTCGCTATCGCTGTCGCTCTGGCCAAGTAAAAGGCACGAGCCGAGGGTATTCGTCGCCGTGACGAAGGTAAGCGGACACGCCGATGGCCTTCCCGGGGCCGAAACAGCGCAATCCCGTAGAGCAGAAACAAACATATCAAACTGTCCAGCATGGGTATACGGAGGCGTCTTCACACCCCAAGGAATCCTTACACCCCCTCCTTCCCCTTCCCCTTTGCTTCCCTCTCCATTTCCATCCCCGTCCACGTTCGTGAATTTGCGACTCTCCTCCGCCACCCTCCTAATATACCCCCTCAACGCGCTCCCCTCATACGCAGGCGGCGGTTTCCCCGGAATATTCGGACACGACAGATTAACCTCCATAGCCAGCGGGAAACTAACTTCCCCCGCGCAGCGCGCGATGCGCCGATAGCATTCGGCGACTTCGTCGGGGGTTCCAGTGACTGATACGATAAACGGTTTCTCCTTTCTTCCCAATTTCGCTGACCCCTCCCCCTCTGCCCGCACCTCCTCATCAATCCGCCGTATAAAGCCCAGATACCCATCTAGTGGTATAGGACTATACCCCAGCGTATTCAAGCTCGCATTCCCCCCTATTTCATTCGCATCTTTACTCTCTGAAACTAGATGTGTCCCCGCCTCGAAGATCGCATACCGATGCAAGTTCTCATCATGCGGGAATCCCTCCAGCAGTGCCGTGCGCGTCGTCACGGCGCCCGTCGCGGCACAATTGTACAAGTCCCGGAGCTGCTCCAGCGTCGTGGCCCAGGGGTTGGCCGAGTTGAAGAGCGGGGGGTCTATGTGCAGACTTGGCGGGAGATGATCGCCACCCTCCATATCTAGCTGCTCTTTTTTGGCCGCCTCGCGGTTGTGTAATGTAGACGGCTTAACAAAAAAAACTAGATTCTACGCTGAGATGATAGATACTAGAGTAAGTAGGTATTTTGCATAGATAAAGAACATGCTTGCCTATTGTATATCTAAATATGTACATTATGCCTATCCTTGGCACGTTATGTTCCCGCTGGTAAACATGCGGGGAGCTGAAGATAAGATAACAAGGGGGACGGTTAATAACGCCATGCTATCATGCATCCATTCCCTCGCCAATCGAGTGCCTTAGACTAAACAGTAGTCAAAACGACTTGAGGGCGTTTGAGGATTCATGAATATTTAACATGAGTTTCTTCGGACAGAGTAGTATTGGGTTCTGATTCTCGGGTTGTCGCCGTTGAGTATTATTGCTCCTGATTTATACTGTCACAAGTGCGCTCGTGATAATTGATTCCTTTTTTTCCGACATCATGTGCCCCGGCGACCACCAGTGCTCATTAATGTGATTTTCTGTTTCTTTTTCTTCTTACCTCCCGTAGCCCCTGTCGGGGTGCCTGACCCAGACGCCGCAGAGCCAGCGCCGTCCAGACCGAAAGCTTCCATCTGCATAGCGATCTCTGCTGCGCCGAGGAAATCATCGTCCTTGAGCCACCCATCGTCTGCTGGACGCTCTGAAACAGGCTTAAGGTCGGGCGAGACCGGGATGACTGGTGTACCCCATACCGTCCTTGAGGTCGTTGGGCTCGTAGACATATCGGCAAGCTGTTCAAAGCCCGGTCGTGGGGTCGGTGGGGATGTCCCGGTTGGCGGACCCAAAGGTTGGAAATCATCTGAATTCATTACGGGAGTGGGTTCGATGCTGTCTCCATTGAGATTATCGAAATGGCGCCGAGTGGTACGACCGATGGCCGCGGCCTCCAAGCGCTCGGCTTGTACCCTTTCCCGTTCCTCTTGCGCTGCCTTGTCTCGGTGTAGTTTCCTTCGTCGCTCTAAATCATTGGCGAAGGTCTCAAGTATCTCGGAAGGCACTATATCTGTCCAGTCACACTCTAGAAAGCTCACAACACATCCTTGAGGAAGATGTGCAAGATATTTTGCCCGTTTCCGCAAGGTATCGTCTACGACATGACCGGTCGATATATGCTCCACCCGAGGAAGGAGCGTCGATGGGAAATTTGAGAAGTCGCCAAACTTTGTCTTGAGGATACGAATATCGAGCGGTGATAGGTATAAGTGCGGCGGCGCTTCGTAGAAATGGAACTTTTGCTTGGCGGGATGTTTGGATTTTAACGTTGCCGAAGCGGGCACTGATTCCACCTCCTGCTTCTGATCTTTCAGTTTATCCTTAGCCGTGTTAATTGCCCGTATGGCCCGATGTGGCCAGTCACCCTCCTCGACACCATACTGCAGCTCATCTTCCAGGGCTTGCCTCTGTAGATCCTCCATCTCGCGTTCAAACTGCTTAGCGACGTACTCGTTGGTCCCCTTCATGATCCGAGCGTAATCCATAACGCTGGCTGCGAAATGCCACGGGATATCCTCGCCTAAGTTCGCAACATCACTTCCCCCTTCATCTGGCAAAGCTAATATGGACCCGGCTTCGCGAACCATCAATCGTAGTACAACGTCTTCCCCAACACCGGGCAAGGGGTTCTCTTGACCCTCATAGAAACGAACTGGTCGAACTTCGGAGAGGCGGAAAGTATCATCACAAATAGGACATTTCTTGAAGCGCGCCTCTTTCCTGGAACTGGGCTCGTCGTCGTTCGTCGAGTTCATAAATCTCAGGAGGCAGGGGAGGCAGAAAATGTGGCCGCAGCGGGCCATTCGAGGGGCCACGGGATCGCAGAAGCATATGGGACAGGAGGTGGTCTGGGATTTGGAAGAGGCGATGATCTGGAGCACGTCGGACCAGTCGAGGTGCTTGTCGGCGTCGACAGCCTGGGAGTTATAATTGCCCGCCGGTGAGACCACGAAGCGGTAATTGGCATGCACAAACCTGACCATACCCCCTTAGCATTACACCTTAGAGAGACTGAAAGGGTCGTGGCTGTTACGAACCTGGCCTTATCCACAGCATGATAACCGGAGCCAGTGCTCCACGTAGGGTGACGGCGGGCTCCTCTGTGGTGGTCCTGGTGGTAGTGACGAGAGGGAACGGAGTAGTTTAGAAGGTGTGTAATGGACGTCTGTCCACGACGACTCGAGGCATTCCGGACGGCTCTCTGTCATGCTGCGATTAGTCATTTCCTTGTTTAGGTTAAAAAAGCAATGGCCGTATGCCAGCTTACGATCTCAGCCATGGCGTCGTCATCATCCAGGTGCCCGTTTGGTCTCCGCTGATTCCGGTGCTGTTTTCTCGACGCTTGTCCTTTCCTTGGAGCAGCTGAGATTGGGACGGCAGGACTCGACAGGCCGGAGCGCCGTGAGCCGGACTCGAAGCTAGGTTGCGGAGAAGATATCTGCTGCGTGGAAGAACTGTACGATGCCGGGATCGAAAGGGATTTGGCTCCCAGGTTGGTCGAACCACCAGAGTTCATAGTGGTGACGTGCCAAGCACGACCGGCAGGTAGCTAAGATGGCTTGAACACGGCGGTGGTGATGGAGTCGATTCGACTCAGATGAATGTGAACACTGTAGGCAAGTTGTCGATAGGTAGATGGGAAGATGGTTCAATGTAGTACGGAAGAGAGAGAGAAGGCCTCAGCAGACGGACCCCAGAGGCGGGAACGGACCGGAAGAGTCACGACTCGGCGGGGCCAAATGTTACCGTGGGTATGTAGGTAGATGACGGGACCGGGGTTAGTTGATAGGTATGATGATGGAGGCCAGCTCTCTAACTAAATTCTCCATTTAAACGCCACAGTCTAGGTGGGCCGTCTAACCCACCTTTATATAATAAGTTAGTTCATATCAGGTAGAGGTGTTAATACATACCCATCTCTTCCAGAGCATGAAGCATGAAGCCTACCTATGCTTCAATCTATGCTCTCAGCTGCTTGACATCCTTGATAGTTGGTGGCATTGCTTATGCTGAATGAAGGTAGAAATATTTGCCGTTAGTAATGTCACAATTGATATCTTGTCTGAATGTCCTCAATTAGTAACAAGCTTAACAAGTAACTAGTGTAACTTGAGTGTAGCTAAGCTATCTGGAGGGGTGCCCCTTCCTGCCTGCACCAATCAAAATTGCACGTGCTTGTCATGTGTTCGATTTATACTGAATTATGACCAACCTTCTTCAACAAATAATTCAAAGGCAACGTGGCAGAGTGGTTAACGCGTGCGACTAGAAATATATCTTGCAATCGCATCCCTTCGGGGTCACAGGTTCGAGTCCTGTCGTTGTCGAACAAGTTCTTCTTTTGCTTCAATATCAAAGGAGTTTGGTGATGTTTTTGGTTCATCACGTGTAATTTTTACCCTTTGACACAATTGTAGGAAGGTACGGAAACTGCCTCTAAGTAGAATACCTATCAATATCCACTTCACTCTACCTAATGACACAACAATTGCAGTACCAGGTAATCAATGTGCTACCTATTATGTATCTGTATGTAGGTACTTCTTAATCTTTTCTATAACTTCATTAGTTTAGTATCAAGGACGCAAGCGCATCGGATGATTTATTACTGCACATCCTCGTCTATCTAGATGCAACCAGAAAATGCTCATATCTATCGACGCAAGCTCAACAACAATAAATACACTCAACACACACGAATCTCAAGAGACAAAAGTAACAACAATCACAAAAACATCAATCTTCTCATATAGTAAATAGGGTATAGCCACGTATTATTTTGTAAGTGAGATAGGTCCAAGCAAACTTGTAGTAAGTAGTATCGATACATGTTTTAATGTATGTACGTACGCTAGTAGATAAGATGCCTGAAAAAGTTGCGCGATGCCGATCCGCCGCCGCCGCCGCCGTCGTCCATCTAACTAAGTAAGGGGGTGGCGCGGGAGACGCATTTGGGGAATCATGAGCTTTCAAATGGAAAAATCAAACTTATTGACCAAAACAACTGGGAACACGGACGGAAAAGTGATCAGACTCGGCCTTCGCCTTCGGTCGGGCCGCCTAGTTTTTGTGCGAGAGTTTCGCCTTCACCTTGCCGAACATGGCGCTGAGCCGGTTCTTCTTCTTCTTGCTTTCTCCGTTGGCCGCGCCGTTGCTTGCCTTGCTGCTGGAAGGGGTGGCTTCGCTGGCTGGCTTGGCCGGCGTTGTTGGGTCGACGGCGGCTTTGGTGCCGTTTGTCTCCTTCACCTGCTCGGCCGGCTTGGATGTCTCGGCGGCGGGAGTTTCTGTGGTAGCAGCGGCCACTGATGTGGTGGGCGCTTCCGTTGTGGCCGGAACAGCCAGAGCGGGAGTCTCCTTTGTTGCAGGAGCTTCGGTTGCCGCCGGTGCCTCGGTCTGAGCGGGCTCACCGGCTGCCTCTACGGGCTTAACCTCTTTCAACAATTCAGCCTCAACCGCCTTCTTTTCCTCGACGGCCTCCGTATTAGTGGCGGCCTCGGGGGCTCTTCCTGACTCGGCAATAGACTCTTGGACCGTGGTAGGGACTTCCGACGAGACCACCTCCTCGCGGGGCTCTCCATTTGCAGCCGCATCAACAGGTTTGATCTCCTTCAACAACTCAGTTTCTACAGCCTTCTTCTCCTCAACCGCTTCGGTGTTGGCGGCTGCCTCAGGGGATTCGCCAGCAATAGCGAAAGATTCCTTAACTTGGGGGGGCGCCTCAGGTGATACTTCTTCCCTCACTTCTTCCTTTTGGGTGGTATCAATGGCGCCCTGAACAGATTCGGGCAACTTCTCCTTGACCGAATCAGGGAGCTGTGCAGCAGCAGAGGTAGCGGTAGCCTGAGCAGCTGAAATAGCATCTTGGGTCTTCTCCAGAGCGGCGTCTTTGGCGAGGACAGCACCGGCAACGGCGGCGCTAGCAGCAGCGGACGCAGCGGCAACGATTGATGCAGCAGCTTCGCCAGGAGTGACAACGTCCTCAGTCTTTTCGGTTCCTTTGCCGGCGGTACCCTCAGAAGTGGACGGAGCCTCCTTCACCTTGTCTAGCAGCTCCTTCTCGACAGCTGCCTTCTCCTCGACCTCCTCGGGCACTGCACTCGCCTCAGGGCTGGCATGCGCCTTTTCTTGGCTTTCCTTAACAACATCAGGCACCTTGTGCTCGATGGGCGCATCAGCTGCTAGGGCAGCAGTGGTGGATACTGGAGCAACCGAAGAGATGGTGACAGGAGCGTCTCCTATATCGAGTTAATATGTCGAATTGACCCAGGCGATAGCGAACCAATAGCAATTGTATTGGTGACATACCTGGAAGCGCGTCGCTCTGCGCATAGGATTCGGGGTCTAATCTCACGTTGCTGGTAGCGCTTTGGGCGGCGAGATCTTCAGGGATTTTCTCTCCAGGGGCGAGCTTGATAGGGTTGACGGCGCCCGCAGCAGCAGGAAGCGGGTTGACACCAAATTCAGCAGCAGGTGTTTCGGGGAAGGCTCCGGGCAATTCGGACTTCTCTTCCTTCTCAACCTTCACGTCGTTCTCCGCAGCCGCCGGAATCCCCTCCTTATTTTCTAAGGGAACATCGGCGGCCAAGGCGGCCGTGGTAGAAATCGGCGCAGCTGAACTCATTATAGCAGTGGTAGCGGGAGCTTCCGCAACAATTCGTTCTAGGGTTAACACGTTATTTTCGTTTCCGCTATTGTCAATTTCTCTCGGCGCGGTGTGGTCGGTTATCCATTCGCCGTCGACAACAAACTATACCGGGGATCTAAGTCAGTACAGACGAGAATAGGTGATGAGGAGGAGAAGAGAGGTTGTGCGTGAGGAGACGGTGGCAGGATCGGGGGGAGCTAGGCTGGTGTTTAAGAGGGGACCTAATCAAACTTCCGGGCTAGAGCTTAAAAAGAGGATACAAGTATACAAGGTATACAAGACATAGTACATCATACTGCACTCAGGCAGGCACCCGGCAAGCAAGGGACGCGCAAAACCGGTATCCATGACAAGCTAATGAGCAAAACAGGCAGACCGAGAGACGGCTAGGCCTCGGCTCGCACGCTACGGCTCTGGGATTGGGGGCTGGAATGCATGCACGTAAGGGATTTGAGGAATGCTAGTGCCGCTGAATTGTGATTTGCCTGCTCGTCCGCCTTGTCTGAAAGCGTCTTTTCTCTGCTGTTCAGGTCCAGAGCTGGCCACGTGCCTACGCGGCCAGCCGGTATCCCAGAGACTTATACGCGCAGCACTCGAGTACCGATGCGTGGACGTGCATGTCTTTCGACGATGGAGGACTTAATTTGGGTTAATGCATCTCGCCCCAATTGACCTATCAGATCTCCGCCCAAGCCACTCAGCTGCCCAGCAAAATGCTAGCTAGGAACCTCCATGACCCCAATTGCGTCATAAGCCCGTGGAACAATTTGCGCCCCGGAATGTGTGATCGGGGCAACTTGCCCAGTGCACGTGCATGATAGAGACTGGTAAATTAGTCCGTTGGAGGAAACTGGGGCGGCGACCAAGATAGTGCAATCATTATGTTTGGGTGGGCAATATTCATCAATCAGTTGCTGAAATAGCGGTGGGCGCCCGGGCAGTCTTGGGCCCTACCGGGATCTCAGGATAGACCACTTCTAGCCGCGCCGCGCTCTCTAGGAGATAGACTCGGGCCGTGGTGAACACAATCGACATCAAAGGAGACAGACGCATTGGCAGGCGACAAGGGACAGCACGACGTCGGCGATGTAGAAACCATAACCATATGTGAAGTCACGAACCTTATATAGAATCTTGCTCGAGATGTCGGGTAGGGCGACCGTTTTCTGGAAGGTGTCGCCAACTTTGTCCAGCTTCTCGGTTTTCTTCCAGTCGTCGAAAGTACCGGTCACATAGACTTCGGTGGCAGGGTGATCCCTATAGATAGCCGCGACGAGCGCCCTATTAGCGATATGTTCAATTGTGTCCGCAGGACAGCAGCTCCGGTGTCACAAGGAACCTAGCAAAGGGGCGCTCCGAGGCGCTCTTGCGGTCGGTCATCGAGATTGTGGGACAGACACAGAGTCTAAAAGGGATAAAGAGAGATTAAACTGATCGTCGGCGATCGCCATAAGTTGATTGCGCCCTCTCGCTCGAATCTCTTTATGTTGTCGCCCGTCATCGAGGATTTGAGGTATCATGACTTACCACTTGAAAACGAAGCTTCCCATAGTAGTAGGTAGATAACGACGGATAGGAGAGGTATAATAGAAGCAAATATAGGGTATTGTAGCAAAGAGATTGGAGGGATTCTTTTGCTTTTTCCTCTGCCTTGGGGAACAAACTCGCAGTGATCAGAATAAGGTATACTGAAGTATAGGTCGGATAGCTAAGGTAACTAGAGTGTCAGGTAAGACGGAGGGATCGAAAGAAGGAGTCTCGGGCTAGATTTAGCAGAGCTTGGGGAGAGCTCGGCTACATACTAGCGACTTAGTGGTTCTTTGTGCGTGGCTGGTCGGCTGGAAGCGCGGAGACCTTGGGAGGTTAGGTGCCTTACTTAGGTACCCTACGGTATGATGACAGGGGGAGGTCCAGGGCCGGGGGTTGAGTTGGACCTCCCACCGGTTCGTTCGCAATCAATCACCATCACCGAAGACTGACGAAGCCGGCTTGACCCCGCCGCTAAAACTGCTGTACTCAAGCTACTATGATAGGCCAACTAATCCGAAAGACGGCGGACTATTCTAATGGACTGTTTACAAAAATTTGCAAATTCTGTCTGCATCACCTACATACTTAGGTACCTTGTATGGTCAGAGTATGGTTATGAATACGTACTAGGTAGCGACCCATCCCGGGAGATAACCTTACAGTAGTGTACCTTAGAAAACATTCAGGCAAAGACGCCTATACTCTTTCCGACCGCCCCACCTAATGACTCGCATGGATGCATCACGATCTGTAATAACTATTTGAGCCGCCTACTTTTTTTGCCTACTCCTTTTTGCTGTTTTCGTTGTCGCTGAACGGCATTGGCTCCGATCGCAAGATTTTGTAAAGAGGCTAAATACCTATGCAGTCCATTCTGACCGGGAAAGACGGCGACTTGTTGTGTTTGGCCGATTGGATATATATCTGCGCTGGCTTCTCACTGGCTAGCGCAAAGTCTGTACAATGGCATTTTTCTCGGTGCCTTATATGCATGTGAACGTGGCATACCGCCATGTCTCAGGCTCACACGAACTGATAGCAGCAAGCATCCATCCATGGCATCATTCCGTTTGCATACAGAAAAGGCAAAGATGACCCGAGCCAAGTAATCTCCATATGGGTACCTAATTGCTTTCTTACATACTTTCATAC